CTATGGAGTCTTCTGATCTACCTTCTACCAAAGGTCAATGACCTAGTTGCCAAGAATGCTCTAGGGAAATTGTGGGAGGAAAGGGAGAAGGCTTGGTTGCTAGAAGATCCGCATGGCAAAGGGAACACCACAGAAACGGTAACCATGTTGCCCCTTTGATGGCAGACACATAGTAGCAGTTACTAGAATGGCCATTATCCATTGGAGCCACTAACTGGCCCCCAAAATTAGTCCTCCTTCTTTCATTGTGGCAGGCCACTCAGCAGCTCAGCAGAAGACTTTTTTTTGCAGGCTTCTGGAGAGCTAGAGGTGGCAATGTGACTGAATCCTCATCAGGGGCATAATGTGGAAGTGGTGGTTTCCACTCCCTGGTCTGGGGCCAAAGGCACATGCACGCCTGTGTTTTCCTGACCTTCCCACAAGCTGGAATACAGCTATGCCATGACCAGTATGGATCTTACAGACAAGGATAACACACTTGTGTTAGGAGGGAGGAAAAAACAATAGGATGAAATGAAGAGAAAAATAAATGTATTTATTTCACTGATTATGCTTTCGAGCTTCTTTGTAACTTAGCTTCCACCCTAACTAGTACACATTATAATATTCTGAAACTAAGGTCTTAGAATAGAACTGAAGAGCCCTCAGACCATATCCATTTTCTCAGTTTAACATAGACCTTACCAGAGTTCTAGAAGTATTCTGTTTCAAAGGCAATAATACAATGATTATTTCCTGAGAGTTTACACAAGGTACTTAAGAAAGGGAACACTATTATATTTTTTCCAAAAAAATTATTTGGAATTTATGGAATGGAATGGGCCCTGAAAAATCAACAATCAAAACTATATTAACCACAAATGTGTTCAGCCACCATAGCCACAGATGAAAATAGTACTCGTATGGGCTGAATTGTGCCCCTCCCCCCGCCCCAAATTCATATGTTGAAGTCCTAACTGCCGGTACCTAAGCATGTGGCCATACTTGGAGACAGAGGTTCTTTAACGATGTAATTAAGTGATATGAGGTCATTAGAGTGGGTACTTATCCATTATGACTGGTGTCCTTCTAAGAAGAGATTAGGAAACAGACACACAGAGACCATGTGAAGACACAGGGAGAAGACAGCCATGTGCAAGCTAAAGAGAGAGGCTTCAGAAGAAATCAACCCCGCCAGCACCTTTACCTTGGATATCCAACCTCCAGAACTGTGAGGCAATAAACTTCTGTCAGTTAAGTTACCCAATCTGGTGGTCCTTTGTTATGACAGCCCTAGAAAACTAACACACGTATGTCAAGGTCAAGCATTTTTCTTTTTAGCCAGAACTACGGAGAAATTCTTTGGGTTGCTTCTCTAACAAAATGAAACAAAACAAACAAGAGAAATGAGTTCTGCATGATTTCTACTAATTCAAATTGATGGGTTCTTCTGGCTAACAGAGAGAGAACTTGTTCATATTTGGATGATATCTGAACTTTCAAAACAATTCTATACCCTCTCCAAAATAAGTATGGATCCATGCCTCATGCTATATTCAAAAGTGAACTCCAGATAGGCTAAAGACATAAATGTAAATAGTAAAAAGATAATAAAATAAAATGCAGAAAGCCATCTTCGCAGCCTAGGAGTGGATAAAGACTTTCTGGACAGGAAGCTAAATCCTCAAATCACAATGTCGAACTTGGATGGGTTTAACTGCATTAAAATGAAGAATTATAGTACAGTGAAGGATACCCTTGAAAAAGCTAACTGACCAGAGGAGATTCTGCAACATCTAAAGCCAAAAAATATTAGTATCTACAATAACCTACCCACCCCCACAAAAAAACAAAAACAACTCCTGCAAATCAACAAGAAAATAATACAATACCCAATAGAAAAATTGGCAAAGGATATGAACAGGTAAATCTCAGAGAATGAGCAGAGGTCTAATAAGTATGAAGCAAAGCTCAACATCCTTAGCAACAAAAATACTGAAAGCTTAAGCATCAATGATATTTCCACATTGTCCGTTAGAATTGCAAAAACTACAACACTAGATAATAACTAGTGTTGGAAAGAACATGGGAATGACAGAAACTATTAGATACTATTGGAGGGAATATAACCTAGTCGAATAGTTCTGGAAAGCATTCTAAAGGGACTAGGGAAACCAAGTATAAGATGTCCTTTGATTCAGCAATCTACTTCTGGGTATAGTAGTCCCCCATTATCTGTGGAAGATACGTTCCAAGATCCCTGGTGGATGCCTGAAACCACAGATAGCACCGAATCCTACATATACTATGTTTTTTTTCCCCCAGGCATACATACCTATGATAAAGTTTAATTTATAACTTAAGCACAGTAAAAGATTAACAACAACAAGTAAAGATAGAGAAATTATAAAAATATAATAAAAGTTATGTGAATGTGGTTTCTCTCTGACAAAACATCGTACTGTACTGTATTGTGCTTTACTGTACTCACCCCTCCTCTTCTTCTTATGATGTGAGATGACAAAATGCCAACGTGCTGAGATGAGGCGAGGAGTATGACGTAGGCATCGTGAGGTAGTGTTAGGCTACTATTGACCCCCTGACGATTCGCCACAAGAAAGATCATCTGTTTCCAGAGCAAGGCTAACCACGGGGAACTGAAAGTGCAGAAAACAAAACCGTGGATGAGGGTGGACTGCGGTATTTATCTCAGGAATACTCACATCCAGATCCCTCTGAGAACATGTGCCTGGATATACCTGACTGTATTATTTGCGATGTGGAAGTTAGAAACAATGCCCTTCCCTAGGGGAAAGGATAAGTAAAATGTGGTGGAGACATACTATGAAAATATAATACATTATCTAAAACAACCAATGGTACGTGGAGCGACACAGAGAGATATAAATCACAAGTGGTGGGGTATTTGTAGCACTATCCCACTTATTAAAAGTACATACCTACAAAACCCATGATATATTTTCCAAAAGATATACAAACTAAACATATTGTGGTGATTGTCTTCTGGAGGAGAAGAATGGGTGGGAACTGGGAATTAAGAGAAAAATTAAAATAGAATAGGGTCTTGCATGCACTGATAATGTTATACTAAAAACCAAGGAGTATAATTAGCTCATTTCTGCACCTGCAATTTAAACACAGACACACACACAACAAAACTTCCCTCCCCAAGCTCCTCCCGAATTTCTTTCAGTGCATTATTCTAGCAAGGCAAATCTTCAATGAGGACACTGGAATTAATTAGACAGTTGCTTAATCTTATTAAACATTTTTGGTTACACTATCTCAAGTGTTCACAAGCCACGGGCAATTTGTTGTCCCACCCCTCACAGGGATATCGGGTATTTGGCAATGTCTGCAAACATTTTTGGTTGTCACCACTTGGGGAGCGGGTGCTACTTGCTCCTGGGTGGGCAGGGGCCAAGGATGCTGCTAAACATACTGCAATGAACGGGACAGGGTCCCACAACAAAGAAGCATCCCTTTCCAAATATCAACAGGGCTGAGATTGAGAACCCCTACACTATCTCACTACATTTTCTATTTACTTCTTTGGTTTTTGGGAGGCTGCCCTTCAAGCTGACCAAGATGCTCCTTTCCTCCTTCCCATCTTACTCGTCCATTACTCTCTTTCCATCTTTCCCTTCCCACTCTTCTTTTATTTCTGCTCAAGCACAGTCTACTGTCTTAGGCTGCCACTCTCCCTCTAGTAATCATTAATCTACTTAAATACCACACTGATTTTAATTGCTCATAAAGACTGTGAACGAGATAAATTGATAGTAAGCCATTAATAATTAAAGACAATTAATTGATAAAATGCCTCTCGTCCCTTTTCCTCTTCTTTCTTATGAGTTGCTCTACCACACACCCATCTATTAAAATAGGAAAGGTACCAATTTGAAAGTCACTGAGGGCCTCTACTAAATCTTCATGAATTGGGTGAAGGAGCTAACTAATATCTTAGAAGACAACAGTTAAAACAACAAACTGGGCAGGAGGGGATCAGAAGTAGGCTTTGAGATGGCAGCCACAAAGGGACAATTTTGGGCCAAGGTGGGGGTGAAGTAGGGATTGAGCTTCACCAACTGGATGTTTGATGCTCAACTCCTTCACTGAAACAAGAGGAAGGGAAAGAGCAGAGAGAGTGACTATGACTTTTTAATTGAATTCCAGAATCCTCTGAGCAACAGAATGGGACTAATGTGTCCCAGGTGGGATTTAAGTCTAAATGAAAGGATTGATTTTCAGATAATGGAGACTGTTAAACATTGAATTTCAGTGTTGTGGATATCCTGCTCTGTTGGTCTTATTTTTTTTAAAGGACTTAAGTATACTGTATTACAGTCCCATTTAGACTAATGAGCAGATCAAAATTCTTAAGAGCTGTGATTTGTGATTTTGTGCATTTTCCTTGAAGTTTCAATTGCCATTTGGTAGTTTGTCCCTTGGGCATTCACATCTCTTCTTTAGTGCCTTGGAGGTTAAATTATCATAAGTTATCTCCAAAGGACCCATTATCCATTTCTTCGATATACCCTGTTTTTTGTTCTTGATGCTGCTAATGGTGGCAGTAGTGTTTTGTTTATTTTCTTTCTTTTTGTTTTTTTAAGAAAAAAAGAAAAAGTCTGGAAGGTCTCTGTAGAGACATTATCCTCCCCATTTTATTCAGTCTGAGCAGTAGAAATATGAATATGTTCAGGCCTCAGTCTTTTTTCTTCTCCAGATAAATTCCTAATTCTTATGACTCATCTGGACTTGAATTATTTTTTTTTAAATAAAAAAGTTAAAAGTTAAAAGAGAAGAAAGGCAGGAAATACCTGGCACATTTGCACGTTACTCTAAGCTCCGTCCCCACTCCAGCTAACCAGGAATAAAACCACCAGGCGTGATGCTTTAGAAATCACCCTCCTGTCTCTTTAACAAACTGTAAATGAGAAGAGGGCGGGCCTCCAGAGTGTCGAAGGTTCTGATTGGTCCTTCCGGCTGGCAGGAAGTGGGCAGTGAAAGCATCGCCGCTGTTGGTGTCCGAGGCTGCAGGGTGAGAGGCCGAGGTCTGGCCGGGCTTCAGGACACTGAACCCGCTGCAGCTTCAAATCGTAGGAGCGGGGACGAAGGGTGCAAAACGGGGTCCCTTCATCGCGGTGGGCGCTGGGTCCTGGCAGCCTTTTCGCGGAGGTGCAGCGGCCTAGCAACCGTGCGGCCGTGGGCCCTGGGTCCGCTCAGACCACCAAGACTGCGCAGTGACCCAGGAGCTGGAAGGAAGGTGTTGCGCGGGCTCTGGCCGCTGCCTTCGCAACAGGGCCGAGGCCCCTGTCTCAACCTAGTTTCTTTTTTTCCCCTCTTCTGCAGGCTCGCTTCCGGCGTCATGGCTCAAAGGGCCTTCCCGAATCCTTATGCCGATTTTAACAAATCCCTGGCCGAAGGCTACTTTGATTCTGCCGGGAGGGTGAGTTTGGGATACATCTGCCTGCAGCCCTACCTCCAGCCCCTAGTGTTGAGAAAGGAGCTCAGTTTTTGCCTGAAGGAAAGGGATGAGTATCTCTCTTTAAAAATACACGTAATTTCAAGATAAATATATAAAATACATGTCAAAATAGACAATTTGAGTTCTACTTCTGTAAGAAGTCATTGTTGTTAATATTCATAATTGAAATAGCCTCAGTCATTAATAATTTAAATTATAAAAATTGGCGAATATGTCGTTTTTATATGTGATTTGGCATTTTTTTATCAATTTTGCTTTGCTTTTTAAAGAGAGGGGAGGAGGGGCGCCTGGGTGGCTTGGTTGTTCAGCATCTGCTTTCGGCTCAGGTCAGGATCCCAGGGTCCTGGGATCAAGCCCCGCATCGGGCTCCCTGCTCCGCAGGAAGCCTGCTTCTCCCTCTCCCACTCCCGCTTGTGTTCCCTCTCTGGCTGTCTCTCTGTCAAATAAATAAAATAAAATCTTAAAAAAAAAAAAAAAATTAAAGGGAGGGGAGGAGTCCTGGTGGTATGTCACGTGTGCCGTGTTATTGCTTTATATTTGCATGCAAACAGGGGCAGGGTCAACGATGAGAGTAAACGGGGATGTGTGGTAAAGACATCTTTAAACAAAGTGCTGAGAAAAATTAGGGACATAGGCCTGAAATTCTTCCTACTTTTGCCACTCTTTGCAGGACATCCCCACACCTGGGGGTGGGGGGGGAACGGCGGGGTGATAGTAACTTAATGTTACTTATAAGCCACAGAGCAAAAGAGAAGCTGGATTTAAGGTACCCCACAGGCCTGTTGGAACATAATTTTCTCATGCCTCTTTGAGTGAACGTAATTAAGAGGGAATACAATTCTTTTTAAGAATGCCTAGCTGAGAAATTATGAGTGTGTTAGGTTGGAAGAGTGATCTCTTTAAAGTGCGCACGTATTTTTTTTTAATTCTACCAGTTTATTTCTTCTAAGCTTACCATACGAAAAGCACTTCACATGAGATATAATGGCCTTAGAGATTTCGTATCTGCCAAGTTAACTTTATGTGGCTCTTTCGGTTCTTCCCTGGAAACATTTGTGACGATGGATTAATTTAACATCAGTAATACAAGTAGGAGGAATGAAAGAGCTGGAGAAGAGTTGTAGAATAGAAGGGTACCAAAATATACAGGAATCTAGAGTCAATCTGATTTTTTTTT